CAGTACTCTGCGGAGACCATGTTCGTTCTTTGCTTTTGTAGTCTCCAACTGTGTCCTCTGAGGTGTTCCGACCTGGTGGGAAGGAAAAGAGAAGATAGATCAGGTCCAAAGTCATCTCTTAGAATCCCGTATAGCATGATTAGGTCTCCCCACTGACTGGGTAGGGCGAAGTGAATAGGTTCAGCTCCTTAAGTCAGTCTTCATAGGTGAGGCCGGCCATCGCAGGGATCATACAAGTGGCTGCTCTCTGAACTTTTTCCAGAAGGTCTGTGTCACCTTACAGATAAGGATTGGCCGCCTGTGTATAGTTTTCTAATTTGAACCTAACTAAGGATGTGTATAAGATGGTGAACATGTTACCACTTATTTTCGTAAACGTTCTACGTAATGCCCAGAGAGTCCTGAAACTCCGAGCCGCTACCATTCGACAGTGAGCTATGGTTTTCAAGTCATAACTCACTGTGACTCCTAGATTATTGTGAATCAGCACTGACGGTAAAGGAGTCCCATCAATATCGTAGATGTTGCTGTATGTGTGCCCTAAGTGCATGCTTACACATGTACCTGCATTGATAGGCATCAGCTACTTTCCTGATCAGGTAAACAGTTATTCATGTCTACCTGAAGTGCACATATATCCCGTCATTCTTAATCTCCCACCAGACTTTTACATCACCAGCGTGGAGAACCATAAGGGATTTCTTGATATTTGGCGACTCATTTACGTATAGTAGAAACAGTAGGGGGTTCAAGATTGTGCCTTGTGGCCCTTCACACTCTACCGACTTCCAAGTGGAAAGCTGAGAACTGATCCTAACTCTTTGCCATCTGCCTACAAGAAAGTCTCTTATCTATGCAAGCAGACTGTCAGTGATTCCAAAACTTTCGAGTTTTCCGGGCAACCTGAAATGAGGTATCTTGTAAAATGCTTTACTGAAGTGAATGAAAACGACATCTATAGGCATCCTAACACCCTTAGACTTAACCTGACTTTCTCTGACTGTAAGGAGGTTCGTCAAGCAGGAGAAATGTCAATGAAAACCGTGCTGTGAATGAGACAATAGAGTATTGCTCTCTAGGTGGTCAGTGACTGCTTTCTTGATTACTCTTTCTGATATTTTCGTTACAGTACTAGTCGAAATTATTGGTCTGTAATTTAATGGGAGCTGCGTAGAACCTGCCTTGTGAATAGGTGTTACTATGCCATCCTTCCAGTCATAGGGGAGTGTGACTTTGCTGAGAGACAATCTGAATATGTCCTGGTGAAATTCCATGAGGTTCAGTACTAAGACTACTAAAGGAGTGTATTTGAATGAATTCTCAAGACCTGGAAGCGAAAGCTCCACTCTAACCATCAGCTTTGGATTTGAAGTTTCAATGCTTGACCTTTTTGACCTTGAAGTTGCACCTAGACAACAAGGAGGATCTTGCTGAGCGTCATAATAAATTCTCGTATTTTCGTGAACCCAGACGTATTATTTTCTTTCACAGTTGGTGAGTCTACTGAAAGTGTTTTTCTCATTAGGAGAACTCCTCAATATGCTAGTGAACTAGATGTGAGAGATTAACACCTCAGTTTCCTACATAGGAATACCTTCGAGGTGACAGTTTTCGTTTTTGTACAGTGCCGTTTTATGAGCAGATTGGAAATCACACAGTAGACTTTCCCTACCAACCGGTTAGTAAGGTTATCAATTGCTAAGGAACTTAGGATTCAAGCAAAGTCAGTTACTACAAGTTCCAAATGAGCATGTATGATGTGTTTTTCTTCATTATTCGATAAATATAATCAAGTGTTTTAAAACCGTGTTACATACGTGTGTCTGCAGCAATATACTGCTGCAGATATTGCAGCAACTATATTTGCTGTCATTTATCTATAATGTTACAAATGTAAGACTAGGTAGTGTCACTATATTAACTATCAGTTTCCTATGAACAACTCAGGTGAAAGCCGCCTGTCAACCTAACGTAGGATTAATCACTATAAATTTAAAGATTCGACGTCGCCCGCAGTCACCATTTCCGCGGGGAAACACGGGGCAAGTCGGAAAAACACGGGGGTTAAAAACTCGAGGAAATGTTGCACAATCCCGCGTTTTGACTTGTGTTTTCATGGTAAACTGAAACATAACCCCGAGTTTCGCCCCGCAAAAATGTTGAATAGGAGTATTATTAATCGTTATCAAGCTGACGATCCCTGACTTAACTTTTGCCAATTCTTGGCCATACTTACGCACTTTCCCCAACGAAGCGAAGAAAATTAAATTCTCGAAATGTCAGGGTCCCAGGTTTCTAATAAAATTCTTTCACTCGGTTAAAATTGTGAGTCGTCTATGAAACATGTAAGCAGAGACTTGGAACCTGTTTTGATTGGCTTCCCCAAAATGGTATCAAAAAGTCCAAGCTGATTTCGAACTCTAACTGGTATGCTTGCTCAGTTACTGGTCTGTGAGCCACATTTGTGTGAGGATTCTTGACGATTTTGAGTGGCTCAGACAGATTTGTGTAGAGGTGGGTTTAAACTTGACCCATTACCTAATATTTAAATGTTTAAACCAATGAGGCACATCTCTAAGTTGATTTTATAAACATGGTCACGTTCTAGACAGTACTGTACGTGAAAGATGAGTAAGTATCTAAACTTTCTGTAATTCGTACCAATAAGCAAGCAAAGGTTTCGCTAAATATTTAAACAACCTATCTTTACACATCTCACTAAACATGCTCATACTAATGTCGGTTGAGATGAATTCAAGTTTGGATATCAAACGTATCAGCTTTCTGTAGATAGTGGTGTTGAATTCACCACCGTCTTATTTTATCTTTCAGTTCAAGACGTCTTATTTACCTTGATCATTTTCTAATCTCTAATTGAATTGGATTGCATCCATCCTGTTTATGTATTAAAAAACTTCGGGTGCTTTCAAATCCTACGCACGGCTGAGATGAGAGAGGGAATTTAAAAATGTAGGTTAGTCAAAAAATTCAAGCTTTAGAAAGCATCACAGAGTGAAGACATCTACGCCATTGTAACCGATTACCAACCCTGTTTCCAAGAGTCCGGAAACACGGATTCCTATCCTCTCGGGAACCACAGCCAGGTAGTCTACGGATTCATACACCGTTCAGACCAAGAGTCAGAGACTTCATGGACTGATGTCACGTCTTAGTCTGACCACCCTGAGCCTTCAACCAACTGAATTCAACTTCGCCTAGCATTTTACGTCTATATGGACAGTGGTTTGACACACGTAACACATATCCAACCCACTTTGCCTAGTACCTTTCACCTAACCTCATCATTACTCGCAGGGTGATCCCATGATACACGAGGAAACCTGTGGTGAAAAACTTGTAATCCCTACATATCCCCTACTTTTAACGGCCATATTTCACAGCTATATAGCATGACAGAAAGAAGTACATCGCAGTAAACTTCTTCCATAGACAGTAAAATATCTTGCCAGTTGGTGCCACAGATGAAATAATTTTGCAAATGTCAAACGAACCTTCTGTATCTGAGCTGGGATTTTGTTGGTAACCGTTTTACAGGTGCGATATGCATGTCTATCACACCCAGATTTCTGCTCAATGCATTCAGAGAACCCTGCATTTTGTTAACGTCTTCAGCTAACAGGACAATTTCATCTGCATACTCCTAGTCAACCAGATCCGGTACAGGAAGTGGATCAATTCCCGTGAAGTCAAACTTAACTAAGGTTATTTCCATTGGTACATCTATGACAAAATTAAATAGGAATGGTGACAGGAGGCATCCTTGCCTGACACCGTTAGTTGTTCTCTATTCAGATGACAACTCTCCATAAATCCTAATATGGCTTAATGATTTCAAGTCGAGAGCTTTGATTAGCGTTATATACTTGCTCGGTACTCTTCTCATAGTCAAGGAATCTCGACGTGTAAACAGATTCATCTGATCATGTTAAGGAATCTACCTGAATTTTTTCATGTTACTAATGATGATATCTTAGTTATTAATTCCCTTGACTTCTTGTCTTCTTTGTCATAACTTGGATGAAAAGTCATCATTTACTATGCAGGCTATTCACAGTGAAACAAAATACTGCTTCCATTCATAATATTAACTTTTTAATGTTATTTATGGATATGCTTGTTCTCCGTTGTCTTGCTGGATCAAATTGTCCGACCTCTGTTGGTATATTGGCTCTTATGTGAATGCCTCAATATTGCCTGAATGTTAATTACGGCAATTCGCTTGTTTGTGGATAGCAGAAGAATCAAGAATCCGCGTTCCTTCCTATTTGGTACTCGTCAGCTGGATGTACCTGCACCCCAGTGCAATGTTGTTGTTCCCACTGAGACTCGAACATCGTTCCCATCGTTTCAAATGCTAAGGCGTTATCCACTAGGCGACGCAGGCATGATAGCCCTCTCCTATACTGACGAGTCCCCAATAAGGTGAAACTCTCGTTCAGGATTCTTCTGCTAGCCAGCCAAAACCAATTAAATTACCGTAATTTTGAAAGTTATGCAAAAATGACTTGCTTCCGGATGGATGTCAGGAAGTTCTAATGAGAAGCCGTGACCTGTGGGGTCAACCAGTCAGATGTGAAATAGATGCTAACTGAAGACCTTGGGTGACAGTCGCGCTATGTTGTGAATTGACAGAAGTTGGAAATTGTGAACCAGTGGAAACCGACCCAGTGGCTGAATGGTTAACGCGTTCACCGTGAAACCTGAAGGTCCTGAATTCCATCCCTAGCCAGGTCGTGAGTGCGTATTGCTGAGGAGTCCCATACTAGTTGGACGAAACAGCTGTCCAGTACTCCCAGATTTTCAATGGTTCCCCAACTTATGTCAGTCCATAATGAATACTACTTCTAAATTAAAAATCCCCATTCATCTCAAAAATGTCTTTAAATTTATGTCATAATTTTAGATTGATATGAACAAGTTATGAGATAAAACTTCATCAGTAACAAATTTTTCCTACAAGCAGCATTAATTACTGTAATATGACCACTTGTGAAAATTCCAGCCTTCATCAAATCACTGCTACAGAACAACCTTCTAATATATCAACAGATTTTATTTTCTTGGAAAAGACTACGTCTTCCAATGCTACAATGATGACGACAACTTCAGAGAATACATTAGATGAACAATATGCAAACAGTTTAGATAGTGTTGAAACGGTTAGAGAAATAGTCAGTACAGATTTATCAGATGGTCATTCAACTAGAACTACTGTGACTGAAGTGATGTTTAATCAGTCAAAATGTAATAATAATATGAATAGATGTGTTACTACTGCTACTTCTAATACAACTGCTACCGGAGAGAAGATGGTGACATTTTGCAATTCTATTAATTCTCATATGTTATCATCAGATTCCTTTGTTGATACTACAGCTAATGAGGATAGATGTAACAGTAGTAGTTGTAATCATATGGGACGAAAATTTGGTTTAGCTGATTATCTGACAAAACAACGTCTTATAGATCAACTTTTAAATTGCTTTCGTCCTTTTATCTATTTAGTACAAAAGGAGAAATCCTTTCAATCAACAGATCAAGGTAAGCTGTGATTGAATTCAACACTAGTTTGTTGTATACCTTCTCCTGTTTACTACCAATTACCTGTTGAATGGATTTTTAGCCTAAGCTCCATGTTTGAGGTGTGATTTTCAAACCCATTCTACATGTTACTTGATTGGAGACTATTGGCAGGAAGCCCTGCTTGACCTAGGTTTTGACCTCGTTAGCAAGGCGTATCTGCAACCTCAACAGGATTGATGTCTCGCCTGAGATTCAAACCCGTGTCACCTGGTGTTTTAGTCAGCGACTTTACCACTGAGCTGTTCGGGCTGCCATTGACCTGTAGGGTTACATATATTGATTGGTCACCGGAGTTCTCAGTGGTAAATTCGCTGACTACAACACTGGGTTACGCGGGTACGAATCCCAGGCAGGACATCAGTTCCGTTGAGGTTGCAGATACACCTTGCTGACGAGTGCCAACAAGCACGAAACCCAGGTCCAAAGCTTCCTGCTGATTGCCTCCAACCAACTAGCATCTACTAATGTGCACTGCGACACTTAGCCACATTGCAAATATGATCGACAGGATTCGGTCTGCACTCAGGACTAGACAACATGAAATTGGTTGCTCTCCTTTGACCAATCAGTGTAAATCTATTCTACTTAATCCTGTGTAGACAGCTGGTTAGAGTTGTTAGCTATGTGTCCGTCTGACTCCCAACCAAATACGTGATAACTTTCATTTGGCTAATTCGTTTATAAGTTTGTTCTCTATCAATCTCAAACGTAAGCATTAGAGTTGTGCAGTATACCATGGTAGATAATTGGTCATCCGGATCCTATTGGTTTAAACATTTGCATTGAGCTTCGAAGCTGATTTTCAATGTAATTTGAAAGTCAGACGTTTTTTACTACTAATACTATCGTTACTGCTTTAGATAACTCAATAAATCACTCTAACTATGCTATACGGTTAACGATAAAGTCAACAGTGAAATTCGAGGAAAGTTCTAAGCCAGAGCCTGGTTATCTATTACGCCAACGGTGCTAGGAGAATCAGTCAAAAATGCCAGTTGATCATCTCATTTTTGATGTCCTGTTGATTCTGATATGATGTATGTTAGCATACATTAAGTGATTAGGAATTTTCAGATTTATTTAAGCGCTCACAATTATTGCAATTTCTCTCATGTATTATCAATTACTGCAACGGACTCGATTGCTTATCATTAAGGGTTAAATAACACAATTATCTTGAAGTCATTACTGGCGTATAAACTACTTCTATTGGGACAAGACATAAGCGAACAATATTGTTTTCAATTAAATTCTCTTCAGGCTTAACTTTGATACAAATAGCTTTTTATATACATATATATATATATATATATATATATATATATATATATATATATTATATATAAGTTAAACCAATCATGTAGACTTGACGGTTGATGTGATAAATAGTTCATATAACGGTGGAGTTAATAATAATAATAATAATCATGAAATTGATAAAAGTGGTAACATTGACTAAAGAACATGCAATATAGATGATGATAAGAACCAAGAAAGCAGCATGAAAACGTAGACACTCCAGCGATAATCAAAATGAGTCAAAAGCTTATGAAAATAAAAGTTACGTAATAGTGAAGGGCGAGGTAAGTGGATAAACAAAGCCTAGACAAATACAGTATGAATGGGGTGAAAAATCAGAAAGCGGGTAGGAAAAAAACTGAATGATTAAGTTAACCACGTATTCCCTGGCCAAGGGATGTACAAATTTCTTCTGAACACAAAGGCTAGTATTATTAGCTCGAATTCTCACACCTTCTGCTATGTGTTGCAGCAGACGAGTTTGAATACCTTTTGAAAGATGACATGGTATTCGGTGTATAATCGTGAAAGCAATGTTCTTATCTACCGAGTGACCACTATCAACGAGGTGAGATAAAACTGAGCTTCTGATGGATTTTATCTGTCCCTTTCCCAACCATGGAGGCAGATGCTCAGCAACACGTTTGTTAAGTTGTCTAGGAGTACGCCCTGTATAGCTTTCTCCACAGGAGCAGCTAAACTTGTAAATACACATAGAAATGACAAAACTAGATAACTTATCTTATGTCTAAGCAGTAACAATCGGTCGACTGGGAAATGAGAAACCAGAAAGAAATTTTCCATCAAACCCGATTCGGTATGTCCACAACTTTTCCACTATTGAACTAGATAAGATTCATTTGGAGGTTTTATCTTTGGGTCCTAAATTATGTGACTATGGACACAAAATAAGCCAAATAGACACAGATGTACAATTTGAAAACTTGTATTCTTGAACAATAGGACTGCTTTCGTCTTCTGACAACGAACTAAACAGGTTCAAAGCTACACTACTTGACAATTGCCAACAGTACAAAAATACTAGTTATTTTACAAAAGGTTTACTTACGAAACAACATAGAGAAGCTTTATCTAAGCTGAGGAAAATTTCATAATAAGTAGACCAGACGAAGGAGGAGGCTTAGTGTTATTGAACAGAAACGACTGCATTGACAAAATGACTATTCTCCTAATGACCAAACAAAGTTCCAAAGACTTGGTAACTCGCCAGGCTTAAATGGAAAAGCAGAGAAGATGATAAACGCCCTCAAGAAACTAAAGAAAAGTGGAACAATTTCCGAGTCCAAATATGACTCACTTAGACCTACAGGGAGTAACACACCACGATTGTATGGTCTGCCTAAAGTACATAAGCCTGGACTGTCTCTTCGTCCAGTTTTAAGCATGTCCAACTCCCCATACCACGCAGTTGCCAAATGGCTAGTAAGGATTTTAGATCCCTTACACAAAGAATTAGTTAACCACAGTGTAAAAGACGTCTTCGAATTTACTTCTAAGCTAGATAGTGTTAATGTAAACGGAAAACATATGATGTCTCTTGATATCTCATCATTATTCACCAATGTGCCATTACTGGAGACGATAGAGTTTGTCTGTCAGCAAATGTCGGAAAGGCAAATCAACATCGGGATTCCTATACATATCCTCAAGGAACTGCTTCTTAAATGTACTATGAATGTACATTTTGTCTTCAGTAGCTCTCATTATCGATAGATTGATGGGATAGCAATGAGTTCACCACTTGGCCCTATTTTAGCAGGTATATTTCTTGCCAAACTGGAGAATGGAGCATTGAAAGAGGCCACTAGGGAGATGACTTTGTATCACCGTTATATTGACGACACATTCGCTATCCTGGATCAGAATGTGGATACAAGAGAAGTGTTAAGGAAATTTAATGAAGTGCACCCTTCACTGACTTTCACTTGTGAGGAAGAAAATGCCAGTAAACTACACTTCATGGATGTCTTGCTAAGCAGAGGAGAAGATGGTTCACTCAGTAGATGTGTTTATAGGAAGACCACATCTATAATTCAGTATACACATTTTCTAAGTCATATAGCAATTCGATACAAACCAAACCTGGTCAAAAGCCTCACGAACAGAGCACGAAAAATATGTTCGGATGATCAAGTACTGAAGGAGTTAGATTATATCCGTAATTCATTGCTTGAAATGGGCTACCCTAACAGTTTCATAAAAAGATACACGAACAGAGCCAGGGGGAACAAACCTGGTACTATTATCATACAAAAGGGATGCGGCTGGAGACTCTCGAGAGCCATTAAAAGGACCTTCTACGCCGCACAACTTTGTCTATCATTTCCCAGTCGACCGATTGTTACTGCTTAGACATAAGATAAGTTATCTAGTTTTGTCATTTCTATGTGTATTTACAAGTTTAGCTGCTCCTGTGGAGAAAGCTATACAGGGCGTACTCCTAGACAACTTAACAAACGTGTTGCTGAGCATCTGCCTCCATGGTTGGGAAAGGGACAGATAAAATCCATCAGAAGCTCAGTTTTATCTCACCTCGTTGATAGTGGTCACTCGGTAGATAAGAACATTGCTTTCACGATTATACACCGAATACCATGTCATCTTTCAAAAGGTATTCAAACTCGTCTGCTGCAACACATAGCAGAAGGTGTGAGAATTCGAGCTAATAATACTAGCCTTTGTGTTCAGAAGAAATTTGTACATCCCTTGGCCAGGGAATACGTGGTTAACTTAATCATTCAGTTTTTTTCCTACCCGCTTTCTGATTTTTCACCCCATTCATACTGTATTTGTCTAGGCTTTGTTTATCCACTTACCTCGCCCTTCACTATTACGTAACTTTTATTTTCATAAGCTTTTGACTCATTTTGATTATCGCTGGAGTGTCTACGTTTTCATGCTGCTTTCTTGGTTCTTATCATCATCTATATTGCATGTTCTTTAGTCAATGTTACCACTTTTATCAATTTCATGATTATTATTATTATTATTAACTCCACCGTTATATGAACTATTTATCACATCAACCGTCAAGTCTACATGATTGGTTTAACTTATATATAATATATATATATATATATATATATATATATATATATATATATATATATATATAAAGCTATTTGTATCAGAGTTAAGCCTGAAGAGGATCTAATTGAAAACAATGTTGTTCGCATATATATGTCATGTTCAAATTTACTTGATGGGAATTTTTAAAACTGCTTCCATTCGTATAAACTTTAGTCATGTTGGCTGCATCCGAGTTTTCCGTCAATAAAGAACAAGTATATTATTCGAAGCATAAGTGTATGTCAGGCTTAAACGATTCCTACAATTGTGAGAAAATGACATCGCCTACACTTTAAAAACCACATTGGGCTAACCATATTTTACATCATCATCTAGACAGCGATTTATGGCGATAATCAATTCGCATTAGCCTATGTAAAAATGACCTTCAGACTTGTCTGACTATGATCATATGACATTCAAACTGTGTTATGATTGGTTAATTTGTTTATGTATGATTTTGGTAATAAAAATGATTGGTTAAAATGAACTCAGAAATGATACAGAAACTGGTGTTCTTGTTTGATGAAAAAAGATGGATATGTGAAAAATCCATATGAACATGACGA